TCCGCCAATTTGTGATATACGCGCATAGTCTAAAAAATTTCCCATACAAATTGATCCGCCCTACATCCCAGCCAGCAGAGAAACGTACTCTTTGCCGACAGTGCAGTTTTCGTACATTTTTCGTATCCGGAAACGTTCAGAAAACGATTTCCATATTTGTTTATTTTTCCTATCCGAAAAATGTCATATTATTTCAAAACAATGATTTTAAAATATTTGTTCAACCTGAGCATTTGAAAACATGTATACGTATTCGCCAGTAGCTGAGTGTGCAGAGAAGTGTGCATACAACAGGATCCAAATCCATTTTTCTCGAGCTGCACTTTTTCGAGTTATGACACTATTGAAGTAAATGAGCGATGTGTAGATATGTATATGTGCACGTAATTGGCGATGTGTATGAATTGGGGTGGTCCAAAATTGCATGTGAAAAAGCAAAGTCGGAATTTTTATGCTCGTACCCCCCCTAGGATTGTTCTATACCGAAAAAATTTACCATGTTTAGAGATCGCTCAAAGCGCTCAAAGTTTTCCATGTATTTTATATGGGATAAAAACAACTTTTCGTAGAAATGGTATAGAATTCTTGAAAATCAATATGTTTCGACCGGAAAATTCTGTTTCTCTTCAGAAGATTCCCAATAATAATACCCAATTATATTTAACCATTTTTTCATAGCAACTATATTTTATAAGTCCGCCAAAGCCCCCAAAAAATGCCAGAAAAGGCAATGGGGGGATAAATAAAAAATTCTTAGTACTAAAAAATTGTTAAAATAACAATTGGGTATTGTTATTGGAAGTCTTCTGAAGAGAACCAGAGTTTTCCGATGGAAAAATATGGATTTTCAAGAATTTTATACCAACCATTTCTACTAAAAGTGGTTTTTCCCATATAAAATACATGGACAACTTTGAGCGCTTTCAGCGGCCTCTAAATATTTTTTATTTAACAAAATTGGGTATATATTTTCGATATAGAACAATTCTAGGGGAGGGAGCATTAAAATTCCGACCTTACTTGTTTCGGACTACCCTAGTGTGCATACTACATGAAAAAGTAGCCATTTATGGTATACATATTTCCTTCCACATAGAAATTGATAAAGGAAATAAAGAGAACTTGAGTTTCTCTTTAAAAATAAAACATACTTTTCCTGATCGCACTTTAGTATGCTTCGACTCTTTCTTCTTATCATTTGAACATTAACTAATAATACAGTGGGCATGGGCGTAGCCAGGTAGGGGCAGGGGGGGGGATCGAGCCCCCCCTAACTTTTAAATTTTCCTTATATATATATAAAATGGTACCCTGAAATTCCAGCTTAATAGGGTCGAGCCCCCTTTAAATATCATTCTGGCTACGCCGATGACAGTGGGCCACTTACAACCGTATCATTCTTAATTAACGAAAATTTTAAATAGAAAAGAATCACCAAATGCGATGCACCTTTAACATCCATAAAATGTTCCTTAATTAATTGAAATTTGTTGTTTTTTACATTTAATTGAAAATTCGTAAACAAGTTATTATTTTAATATTTTGTAGGAAAAAAATCATATTGACGTCCTTAGTTGCGATTAATATTAAATTTTTTCTCTCACATACATACATATCTACATACTCATACATATGTATGCATGTATGCAAAATTTGCTAAATAATTTTATTTGGTTCAGTGTTAGCGTCCTCTTGTATGTATCATCTGGTCAAGCGATTAACTTAGCGCACAGTGACTTAATTTAATAAAATAATGGATCAACTATGTCATATCTTAGTTCGGTGAATATCAAAGTTGTACTTAACTTTAGATTTTCGATGATTTTGAAACTTAAGTAATATCAAAAATCACCACTCCATAACAAAGGACAAATCCACAAAAACTGATATTGATAGTGCTTTATATGGAAATGCCATCACCGGACAATACGCAATAATTGGTTCCGTAGACACATTGAATCAAGGGCGTAGCCAAGTAGGGGCCGGGGCAGCTGCCGCCCCCCTTACAGCTACAAAGCGAAGGAGAAAATTTCAAAAATCAATAAAAAAAAGTACTTAATTATATGCGTAATCGAATTCGTAATTATACTCTTAATTTCTACATAAGGCCTGTGCTTTTCATCGTTGTTACAATGACGTAAGCACAGCGTACAGAATTGAAAGAAACCACCATTTAAGTTTCTCTTACCATTCTGTGATAAACAGGATGGAAAAACCCAACGAGAAAAACACTTCCTCCTCCGTTAGATCTTGTTGTGAATGACTTAAACGAGGTTCCAGAAATAAGAAGTACTATTCTACCCTATAATATGTGATACACTTTTTTCGCGAATCAATGACACGCAAAAATTATGCTCCTGATATATCACGTTTGTGTGAAGCAAGCTGGTCGGAAAAATATAGGGCTATCAGGAAATTTTAAGAAGATTTGTCTTGAAATTGTGAAAGCTTTAGAAAAGTTGTCAATTCAGGCAAACTTTTCCACAAAAAAGTCTGCGTATCAATTGTGTGCTGCTATAACAAGGCCGATGTTCATCAATGCTTTGATGACAAATACTAAATATTCAATGTTTCTGGAACCTACAGCAGACATTTTGCAAATGAAGACAATAGACCTCATCGCCGTTGATCAGCATATTGATAATATTTTTTGGAGGTGGTCAAGAATGATCGAAAGAAGGAAGTCACTACGGAGTGAATTAAAAAATCTCGTATGATTACAGCCGATCTAGGAGTCGAAATTTCTCTACCACGTTTGGCAGGTAAACAAAAAAACTGACCCCAAAAACCCCATCTTTCATCTTTTGCTTTTCCATGCACAACAGCGACTGTGGAGCGACCGTTTAGTACACTTCGTAGAGTAAAAACCTGGCTCAGAAGTACAACAGGAGAAGAAAGGCTTTCTGGAANCTTTTGCTTTTCCATGCACAACAGCGACTGTGGAGCGACCGTTTAGTACATTTCGTAGAGTAAAAACCTGGCTCAGAACCACAACAGGAGAAGAAAAGCTTTCTGGAATATGCGTCATGAGCGTCCATAGAAAACTCGTTACCGAAAACCGCGAGATGATTCAGAAGGATATAATCGAACAGTTTGCTGAAAATCGTTATTAGCGTAAAAATGATTAATTAAAAAATATATAAAAAAATAACAAGTATATTTCGTTTTGGCCCCGCCTCCCCCCTTATATCAGATCCTGGTTACGCCCTTGCATCGAATGTCTTCACAACGTCTCTACATATGCCTTGATTTAATCGATGGAAGCTCTGTCATGAAATTGAAAGCGCGCTAAGGTGTGTTGTCTATCCAAAGGAAAGCAAACAGGAACAGACTCCAAGGAGATTTTCTTTCTACGTTGATGTGAAAAATTATGGCTAATACAATTTTTCTACAAATGAGAGGTTGTTGGCTGAAGCTGCTATACGTCAACGATCTGGCCTTCACCATATTAGAGAGATGTTAAAACTCGATGGTTGAAACGCTCGAGCGAATACTAAAATAGATATATATTAAAAAAAAATTGATACTGAATCTACTATATGTAGGCCCCTGCAAGACAAACTTGTTACTACTTTTAAAAGGACTAGCCATAAGAACTGCTGTATAACTACTTTAGAGTGAATAATATCTTTACTGACAGCAAGGGAGCCAACACTTCGCTTCAAAACTAAAAAAATGTCTGAAAAAAGAGTAGACTGCAAAGTAGTGGTTGGAATAGTTACTGTTGTAGTTACAAAACTGGACCTAGAGTAGAGTAAACCTAATTAGAAACAACTAGTGTTTTCAATAAATAAAAATGTCTCACAAAGTACACTGGCCTTTAGGAAAATGAAATCGTGAAAGTTTTCTATACTTATTCAGTGACTCGAATATTCCGTGCCCCTTTTTAGTAATAATAACATGAACGATGTCGAACAAAGATAAGATGGCTTTGTCTTTCGGGATACAATTCCACGGCCTTGTTCATGTAGGTGACGGGTACCAATGAAGATGAAATGACAATCCTTATAACGGTATAGATATAGTTCAACGCAACAAAAATACAACGAGTGATAAGATCCTCGACTCGGCATTCTCGTGAAGTCTTTCTTTGTTGGCCTAATGGTGGTGAGTGAGATAAATCCACAAATTTTGATCAGGTTTCTAAACTCCTTCGTATAATTTTACATTTACTGCTTGCACTTATATAGGATGGTATATTTGCGGTTAGACTGTTAAACGAGTTTAGAATTGTTAAAATAAGACTACCAGGACTTTTGTTTGGGGTTTTTCATTGTATAAACTTCCTCAACAGCCGGAGTAAGTCCCGCTGATTTTCTACGCTGACGATTTTTCGATAGCGGCGTCCGAAAATGCAACTTTAAGAGGTAGACAGTTCACTAGTTCAGGAGTCTAACCATTTCCTCTCAAAATCAACGGCGAGCTGAAGTGAATTAAGCTAAGTTTAGGTATTTATGTCGATGAAGAACTTCATAGCTGGTTCCCCGTATCATCATACACAGACTTACATAAATTCCTATGTGTGTACGTCTTCTGAATACCAACTTCACCAATTGGGTGCACCCAAACCGACAATTTCCAAGCATCTCCATGAACTAAGGGACGAGGTCCAGACTAGCAACAAAAACTTTTGGATCTGAAAGTGTACCGACCGGCCACTGTGAAACCCTCTTACCACCCTCATTAGTAAATGCTGTAATCGCAGTCCAACCACCACCTTAACGCCAGGAAAATCATCAGCTACCTCGTAAAACGCGCCTCAATGAAGCACAGAAACTTTCTGGCTATAATAACAAGTAATAAATCGACAGGATTTCCCTGCTAGCAACTCCTAGCGTAACAGCAGTGAACCAATTTTGCTACGCCTAAACCACTATCAAATTTTTTTGCTTTATTTTAGACTCATTTCGACACACTGTAAAAGTCAATGAGCAAAATATCTCAATGTATGAGTAAAATGATAAAAGCAAGCAAACAAAAAACCACTGAACTAGCGTTCCAGTTTTTAAGAGAATCACAGTCTATAAGACGCACTCAGTACGCTTCAGACGATCGAGCTTGTCGCAGCTATTAGCACGCTGGTTTATGAGTTGTATGAAAAATTTAAATTAAATTAAAAAAAGAACACGTGCGACAGTTAAAGCAACAAACACGTATTAAAATGGCTACTAGTGAGTGGAGAAAAATATAAATAAGTTCTTAATTTTCTTTAACTAAACAGCCAACTATTGGAAATTCTATTCTTTAATCAAGTTGGCGGCTACAAATTGGGTAAAGCTATCATAGAGGGTAAAACAAAACAGGTTTACGATCTACCCGAACATCCCGGCTTGTGTCTGTTGCTCAGCAAAGATCGCATAACAGCTGGCGATGGTGTGAAGGCGCACGATCTGCAAGGCAAGGCGGAGATATCCAACACCACTAATGGACTGGTATTTGGCATTCTAAATGAAGCGGGTAGGCAAAAGTGAAATTGAGTGTACTTAGTATAAATTAGTGCAAGAATTGATTTTATTAATGTTTTTTTTTTTCTACTTAATTTTATGTAGGCATAAACACGGCCTACGTTAAATCTTGTGCGCCCAACGCCTTCATCGCTAAGAAATGTGAAATGATACCGATCGAATGGGTGACCAGACGTTTGGCGACTGGCTCGTTCCTAAAGCGGAATGTGGGCGTACCGGAGGGATACAGGTGAGTTTGATGATTTTTTGTGATTTTTAGATAACAAAAATACGACGCGAGTAGAGATTTCAGCAAATATATACAATATTGGTTTGTTTTTATACATATTTACAGCACTTTTAAAGTTAAAATTTGTTTTTTTTTTTAACAGTGTTGGTCATGCCTTCACCAAACTCATATAAAAAGTTTCAAAGTTTATACAAAATTTAGAAACATTCAACAAATTTACTGAAATTTTAGACCAAGTTGGATACGCAGTTTTAGAGCCCATAAAAAGTTAGTGCGTCGATTTTTGGCGAACTGTCTTGCGCATTTTCTTCCATAATAAGTCCACTTCAAACTTTTACATAATTGTACTAAAATTCTCAAGATTCAGATTAAAAACTTCGACATTTTCATGAATTTTTTTTTTGAATTGTTAAACATTTTGCATAGTTTTAAATTTAAATAGGTTTGGTTAAAGCGTGAATAATACTTAAAAAATTACAAAAAAAATGTTTGATTGAAAACCATTGTGAAAATTAAAAAAAAAAATTACATACGAAAACTTGTTTGAGTCACTGTATCTATACATTTTTTTAAAGAAATTAATCTACTGACAACCTAGAGTTTTGTAGAAATTGTTTTTCTTATTGTTTTAATTTTTTATTGTAGTAGGTGTAGGATATTTCCCGAAAAATTCGTAATTGATGGTATTAAAAAAATTATTTTCTCCAAAAGTTCTTTTCAATGTTTTTCATTTTAGTAGAATATGTGTATTAAAACTATCTAGTTTAACAATTAAAAAAAGTATTTTTTTATTAAAAATGCCAATGCCAATTCTTCAAACAAATGACATCGTCGTCTATAGCCATGATAATAACCTAGTAAGGTAAAACCGTTCTCTCAATTCGTCGGCCACGATTTTTTTTTGAAGTTTGCCAACATTTTAAAATCATATAAAATTGAAAATAAAAAAATAAAATTTCATGGTCTATAGTCATGAGAAAAATATTACAAGGTAAATTCATTCTCTCAATTCGTCGGCCATGATTATATTTCTAACGTTTGCCAACATTTTAAAATCATATAAAATTGAAAATAAAAAAATAAAATTTTTCACAATTGTTGTTGTTTGAGATTGAAAATGAGAATGTGTGTGTGAGTTTGAGTTTTGAATTTTAAAATTATATTGTTAGCAAACGTCAGACTGCCTCTCAATGGTTTTAACTTATTATGTTTTTATCATGGTCCATAGCTGGCATTCACCTTATCGATTCAAATATTCGAAAAAAAAATCCAAAAATCAAAAATTTCTACAAAAAAAAAATACTTTTGCGAATACCGAATAATCTTATGTGCTCCAAAGATGTTTTTTAATAAAACCAGGGGTGTTTTTTTAACCTTTGAAATGAGTTGCTAAAATAGCCTGATTAATCGGAGCTTGGGCCGAATTGCTAATATGTTTATANTGTTTTATCTCCTTCCAGATTTTCCCCACCCAAACAGGAGACATTTTTCAAGGATGATGCCAATCATGATCCACAGTGGTCTGATGAACAAATAATTTCGGCAAAATTCCATTTAAATGGCGTGTTAATAGGTAGGAACATATCGTTATGTACCCTATATACTAAAATTAGTAATCGATTTTATAGCAAAAAAAAGAACATAGAAATTTAATTATATATTTTTTATTTCTTTCAAAGGTCAGGATGAGTTAGACACCATGAAACGTACCACTGTGTTGGTGTTTGAGATTTTGGAGAAAGCTTGGGCAACAAGAAATTGTGCGCTGATTGATATGAAAGTGGAATTCGGTATTGATACTGAAGGTAATTCGATATACTTTTACAAATCAATTTCCTTTTCTTAGTTTAATTAATTTAATTTTTTCTTATTTTATTTATGTATGTATATATTTTTTAAACTAATTAAATTGCTTTATCTAATTTCATTTTAGTCTATTTTATTTTAATTTAGTTGATTGCTTTTTACTTCATTTTATATTATTTCACGTTATTTTACTTTATTTTATTTCGTTTTATTATACTTTACTTGTCATTTTTAAATAGTAATTTGTGTATTTAATTTAACTTATAAAAATATTTTTAATATTTTTGATATTTTTAACTTTTAAACTTTATATTATTTTAATTAGAAAAATAACAACATAACAACTAACAAATATTACAATTTCAACCAAATTAAACTGATCGGACAAACATAACAAATTTAATTAGATTTAATTTACACTTTTTTATTCCATTTCATTTGATTTCTTTATTTTCGAAAAACATTAGTAGCTATATTGTTTTGTATTTAACTTTCCAATTTCATATTACTATATTACTTACTTTATTTAATTGACTTTTAGTGTATATTATTTTATTTATTTTATTGGAATTTATCCATTTTTTTTATTTTAATTAATTTTTTCAATTACATTAAACTTGTTTGTGGTTTTTCAACTTTATATTATTTGAAGTTTATTTTATTTAAGTTTGATTTAATTTATTCTTATTTCATTTTATCTCATTTCATATTATTTTAATTTTTACCGTATTATAAATCCTATTCTTCTTCATTGGCACTACAACCGTTTTTCGGGTTGGGCGAGACCAAAAAGCTTTTCCAATTGCATCTCTCCTGTGCGTATTTGCCCCAGTTCCTCATCCCAAGTGCAGACAGGTCCTTGTGCACTTGGTCCTTCCATCGTGTTCGTGGGCGCCCTTGCTTTCGCTGTCCACCCATGGTGCGGATGCTAGGATCTTTTCACCGGAGCGTCGTCCTTAGGGATGTTAATTTTTTAGATTTTTGCGATCCCGAGATTTTCGGGACATCGTTCATAAATTCCCGGGATGCCGGGATTAGTCCCGGGATTTAGATATTCATTATTTTCCAACAACGTAACATGAAAAAATTGCATCAATATAGTTTGAGAAGCTGTCCTACCATATAATAAATAATAGATAAATGGGTTGGAAATCTTTATTATTTAAGTTGTAAAATATTTCATTAGTAACAAAACCAAATACAGTAATTATCTGATAAAGTAACTTAAGGCATGTCGAAAAAAGCTCGATGCAAAAAAAGCTTAAGTCAACATATGTATTGACTGGCTGAAGGAAGTTCATAATACTAGTGGCAGAAATAAAAGAAACGCCTTATTTCAACCAGTTTAGTCTATACTTCTTTTCTTTATTTAATATTAATTTTTTTTTTATAAAAGTCTACCTCATTTTATATTTAATTAACTGCATTTAAATGCGCATTTAAAAATTTGTACTAAAATTATAAAAACGCAAAAAAAAATGCCAAAAATTTCTAACTTTTTACTCAGCAATTTTAGAAACATTTTAGGTACGCAGTTTAATAGCCCATTAACTTAAAGTAGGACAAAATAAAGTTTCATGCAGGAATTTTTTAAACGATGCTAGGCATTTTCTTCCATATAAACAAATTGTCGAACATACTACTTTGTATGAAAGAAAATGCGTGACACCGCCAGCAAAAAAAAATATAAAAAATCAACGTTACTTTTAGTCACTTGAAACTTGCATTTTATCCTCCTGTAATTTAATGGGCTATACTTATAAAATTGCGTACCTTAAATTTTTCTAAAAATTCTGAGTAAAAAGATTGAAACAGTTTGAAACAAAAAAAAATCAAAACACACCAAGCACTCAATATACGACACTATGGGCCAAATATAGTAAAACTGAGTTTTTAGTTTTAGACTTTTTTTTATTAGAACTTTATAATTTCAAAGATATGATAGATTCTACAAATTATTTAAAAATTCAGTGCAACGTAGAATAAATTGGGAACCAAATGAAACAGAAAAAAAAAATTTGTTTGGGTTCAGAAGGACGAACAGGTTTATTTATTTAAGCTAATAAAGCTAGAAGGACTATATTCGAGGACGTTGTCGAGTTTATATTAGTCCTTAACATATAATTTGTTCAAAATAAATATTTGCAAAATTTCAAGGATATTCAAGGATACAACTTTTAAGGACATTTTCAATACCTTATGCACCAAAAAATTTAATCTGTTCTTTCTCTACAGAATTTTCTCTTTAATTTGATACCCATACTGTTATCCTAAGTACACTGCACTAAATTTTTTAAACCACTTTCTGAATTACTCATATTGTTCAATATTCAAAGTCCTTTAAAAAAATCCAACGGCAGAGAGAAAAGCTAAAACGCAATTTTATTGCATATATTTCGCCCATGGCTTCGCGAATATATTGGATTTTTTTGTGTGTAAAATTGCCTGTCGCACGGTGTTCTGTGTATATATAATTAGCTAAACATATACATATAAAAAAAATATATATTAGATATTAAATAAACAAAATAAATATAGCGAAAACTGGTCAACATAAGGCATTCTATTATTTCCACTTAAAAAGTCCGGAATCCCGGGATTAACCTCCCTAGTCATCATCCGTGCGTACAACATGTCCAAGCCAGCGCAATCGCTGTATTTTTATGCGCTTAACTATTCAACGTTGTAGGTGGCAACATTCCGATGCTTTTTTCTGTCTTTTCATTGGAATCTGTGGCGGGTGCCAAGCCCAGCGCACAGCCCATTGCTCTATTTTACTTTTCTAATGTTTTTACCATTGATATATTTTACTTTATTAACGTTTGTTTAATATTATTTAATTGAATTTATTTGTTTTGATTTAATTTAATTTCGTATTATATTTTCTTCTTTACATACGGTTATTTTTATTCTGTTCCATTTTACTTTATTAATAATTTTTCCCCTTCTATTTTAATTAACTGTTTTTAAATTTAAAAAATATCTTTAATTTAATTTTATTTTTTTCCGTTTAGTTTTATTTTTGATTAAGTCTTTCCAAGTTTGGGGATTTCTTTTTTTATAAATTTATTATTTCATATTCATATTAATTAACTTAAAGTTATTAGTTTATGTTCCCATACTTTTTTTCTAATTTGATTTAATTTTGTTATTATTATTTATTTTGTTTTAACTTCTTGAATTTTTTGTATTTTGTATTTTTTAAGTTCATATAATTTTATTGTAGGTATTCCATTTTATATTTTTCATCGTTATTATATCATATTTAATTTAATTTTCATTTGTTTTATTATTCATTTTTCATTTTGTTTTGGTTAATGTTTTTCTGTATCAGTATATATGTATATTTTTTTTAAATTTGTAAGCTTACATTTTAACTACGTTTTTCTTAAAGTTTTTTATTTTAAGTCTTTTTAATTATTACATAAATTTATTTTATTTAATGTTTTAACTAATTATGTTTATTTTTTTATGTTATTGGATTTAATATATTTTAATTTTTTTCAATACATTACAAAAAAACAATAAAATTAAACTAAAAAGATAAAAAGGTACAGCTTATATATTTAAATTTAGTTTTCATTCATTTAAATTTTTAATTTTGTTTTGTTTTTATAATTTGGAAATTTGTTATTTAATATTATAATTCTTTTATTTTTATTGAAGTTACTAAATTTATCTTATTTCATATTTCTGTTTTTCTTTTATATTGACATATAGTATATTTATTCAATTTCACTTTATTTCTTTATTTTATGATAATTCTTTTATTCTTTTATTTTTGTTGAAGTTACTAAATTTATCTTATTTCATATTTCTGTTTTTCTTTTATATTGACATATAGTATATTTATTCAATTTCACTTTATTTCTTTTTTTTATTTGAATGATTCCATTCTCACAATTAATATTTTTTTGTAATGGTTTTACATTACAATAAATTTCCATCCCTATCCTTTCCACACAGGCAACATTGTGCTCGCCGATATTATCGACTCCGACTCGTGGCGTCTGTGGCCATCCGGCGATAAGCGTCTAATGGTGGACAAGCAGGTCTATCGAAATCTGGCCACAGTCACTGACAGTGACTTGGATACGGTAAAACGCAATTTCATCTGGGTCAGCGAACAGCTCAAGGACATTGTACCAGCTAGAGATCATCTGGTGGTTATTCTAATGGGTAGCGCCTCCGATACCGCGCATTGCGAGAAGATCGCCTCGCACTGCAGCCAATTGGGCCTCAACACAGAACTGCGTGTCACCTCGGCGCACAAGGGACCCGAAGAGACATTGCGCATTATGCGTGAATACGAAAGCGTAATCAATAATCTGCTCTTCATTGCTGTGGCAGGACGCTCGAATGGCCTTGGGCCGGTATTGTCGGGCAGCACCACATACCCAGTAATTAATTGTCCACCCTTGAAGCCTGAAAACTTACAAGTGGATGTTTGGTCAAGTTTGAATGTGCCCTCAGGCTTGGGCTGTCCGACGGTTTTGTATCCTGAAGCAGCGGCGCTGCATGCCGCACAAATTTTAGGCCTAAACAACTATATTATCTGGTCCAAATTGCGTGTGAAGCAATTGAATAATTTTATTACTTTGAAGAAGGCTGACGAGTTGGTGCGTGGAGTGCGTAAAGCCTAGGTGTTTTGTGAGCCGGGCTTGTGTTTCAATAAATACGTTATATTATTCTATTATGGCAGATAGTTTCGTAAATTATTCGCAGTAATGTTTTTTTTAACAATTTTCATTCCAAATGTGCATTGATTTAATCAATAAAAAAAAAAATTATATACATTTTGACATACTTATATTTAGAATAAGCAATGATACTCTATAGAATTTGATTCTATTGTTAAGAAAATACTCTGAAATGCATCTAATCGTATCTTAAGGAATTGAGTTACTGCGACTTCCGTGAAGCAGTTCTATGCTTGTCCGGTATTTACACTAAAAAAAGTATTAGCCAGAACTCTCAAAAGTTGGAGGGTTAAACCCAGTTATAGCTCCTCGATGTCACTTAGTCTTCCTTGAGTGCGGTGTTAACCCATTTTCTGGCTGTGGCTTCGATAGCCGGTAGTTGAATGCCTGGTCGGACATCTCTCTGGCCGGTGGTCTAACCCCAGTTTACCGTTGTAAATAGGCCAAGATCATTAGGATTATCAACTTGCATCTGCAACCACTTTTGAAGTAGTTAAGAGTGCTAGGCAGTGCTTACGTGTAGCTTGGCTAACATTTCAGACTTCTAAACTCCCACTTCACCACCTACACTGACTCAAACAAAGTACCACGTGTTGAATTTTTTTAATATTCGTAATGTTTTTCGAGCTAAATTATTTGTTATTATTCTATAAAAATACCGTCAAAGCGTTAGCCAAAACCATATAAATCACAGTTTCAAACTTTATAAAAAAATTAGGAAAATTCAACAAATCTCATCAAAATTTCAACTTTTTTTTCTGAATCTTAAGAACATTTTTGGGTATGCAATTTTAAAGGTCATACAATTTTAGTTTAATTAAGTGTAAGTTGATTTTTGAGTTTTTTTTTTTTTGATAACGGATTTTTGCATATTTTTCCATATAACCATGAATTTCTTATCACATAAAATGCAAAAATACAGTTTGAAACTGTGATTTATATGTTTTTGGTTAAAGCATGGACGTTATTTTTATAGTAAAATAACGAACAAAATTTGGCTCGAAAAACATTACGAATGTGCAAAACAAATTAACACGTGGTCATTTGTTTGAGTCACTGTATTCTGCACGACAATCCATGGCTTTAAGGATTACATGTAATGAAATTGAGCAACCGAATCATATCCCCCTAGTGAAATGTGAAGCTTGTCTACATTACAGTCTGCTGTGGAACCATCAGTAAAGATTTTTCTATGCGTATGACGAGGCTCAATAGTTGGATTAAGCCAGCACTCGGACTCATACTATCTCCTCACTTACATCCACACCTCAGCAAATTTCGTTAAACTGTTCATTTCATTTTGAATCGGTTACACTTTTTCCTCAGGTACCCCACCAATCTATTCATAAACTTATATTTTCTTACAGGGTAGCCTCAGCGCACTACATAGTCGTACCTGAGCGCTTATGTGTGTACATATCCATACATACATACATATACATATGATATACGCACACCTTGATATAGTTGTACAAAACGTGCCTGTGCCAACGTACAACGTTGTGGCGCATGTCTCGCCGCCATTGCTCGAACGACTGCATTCATATGAAAAGTCGCGGCGACGCGTCGTTTGCTGAGAGCTACTATCCAACAGAGTCGTGCGGTGGTTGAAATCAACGAATTTAGTTTGTCGCGTGCTTTTGATGTGATTGCGTTCATTTAGTGGTGTAACGTTTTCTTGTTTATATTTCGCTATTACCATTGTGTACTACAAAATGGACGGTCTACAAGATCAAAAGTTTAATATTCGTTTAGTGCAAGCTATTGAAAAATATCCGGCTTTGTACAACAGTGACCTCAAAACATATAAACGAAGGGATTGTAGAGAACAAGCATGGATAGAAGTGGCCGAGGAGATGGATTGTAATCGTAAGTCTTAAAGCCTGATTATGGCAACTTAACTTAACTTAACGGAGCGTAGAACTTAGAGAACCAAAATGAAACAGATTTCTACGTGGCATTAAGTTACGTTAAGTTTCGGCTGTTCAATTATAAGCAACATCCATTTAACAGAATTTTTGAGGGAGAGCTGTAAGTTACGTTAAGTTGCCATAATCAGACCATAGGTCTTTCTTCATATTTGTCATCCAATCACAGTTGCATTGTCACCTCGTTCTCAAATTTTGCGCCGCGCACATGCATTTCAATGGACCTGCACACTTTTCGTTATCGGGAAATCGTAGTAGATGCAGAGACGGACGGGTACGAAATTTTCGTTTACTAATCGTTAAGCACGCAAAGTTTGTTTACATTTTATGGGGAAAAACCAAGTAAAAAGTGAATAATTGCATTAAAATTACGTAAAAATTTTGATTGTATCCATAAAATATGTGGAAGAATTGAATATGTAATTGCATTAAAATTAAATAAAAAGAAAGGAAAATAAAAGGGGAAATAAAGGAAAAATTATGTCGGGAATCATTGCAGTTCATAATTGTAAACTGGCAGAGTTTTGTAAACATTTCGAGAAAATTTCAACCATAAAACAGAAAATGCGAATATTTCGACGCGGAACGAATTAAAATATCACGATTGGGTGTGGGGAAATGTAATCGTTGAATCATGATTGTTACGATGAAATAACTATGATTGGACGGCCAGTGTTCAGTAAACCTAAAAGCTTATTTAGTCTAGACTTAACTTAACTTAATACAACTTACCGTTACAAATCATCAATGATTACTCAGCACGTCAAATTAAGCAAGAAGCGGGAATATTTTGTTTTTGTGTTTACTTTTTCAGCTGTTTGATAGTTTGCCGCCTAAAATGCCACATCGAAAAAATGCATGCAAAAAAATATGTTGCGTTCATTTGGTTTTGAGAAATACACAAACGAAAATCTAGCAGGCCTGATTCTCTCACCGCTCTCAATTCCCGTAAGGCCATAACTTAAGAATCTAAAATCTACAGGTTCTTAAGTTGCTTACGGTAAGTTAAGTTTTAACTAACCGCCAGTTTCTCATATAACAGGTTGGCCAAAATATTAAGTTAAGTTAAGTTACGGAAATTAGGTCTACAATAACTGAGTTTTAAGTATTAAAATCTTTATTCATTCAAAAAATTACAAATCTAATAAAATATATAAAAACTTATTATGCAAGGCTTTAAATTTTCATTCATTCTTTATTCCTTTAGCTAAAGTCCTTCTCCGAAAATGGCAAAATTTTCGTACAATCTTAGTGAGAAAACTTAAACAAAAACAGATGGGAGAATATGTACAACAATACTATTTATACGAACACATGAAATTTATCATTCCGTATTTGAAGAAATCATATGAGCCTGATGCGATAAAAAGAACCATTAAGAAAAAAGTGGATGAAGAAGAGGACGCCGATATAAATGACACAGACTCACATCAAAGTACAGAGGATAGTGCCATCATTCCCGAAAATGATATCGACGATCCAGTTTATTTTGAAGAAGAAGAGGAATATGAAATGAGTCCACCTAGGAAAGTAAAGAAGTCGGATAGCTTTGAGGAGGAACCCGAATCCATTGGTATTGATGAGTACATTGATGCAATCAACCATCAAAGTGAAACGAAGTCGAATAATTTGGGTGGCAATGCATTAGTCAAACCCGAGTCCACAACAACCAGTCGCCCTTCAACTTCAGCTGCAGCGACGCAAGTATATACAAAACTTAACCGTTTAGAAGAAAGTGATAATCCAAAGAGGCAGTTTATTCTCAGTTTGTTGCCAGACCTCTACGACATGAACAACACGCAGATGCGGAAATTTAAATCTAAAGTTTTAATGCTGGTCAGTGAAATTTTGGACGAAAATGCCACCTGATTTGATAGATTTATTAATATTTTAGGATTAAATTTTATGTTAAATATAATGGATTTTCGTGATCTGTTAAGAAATAATCGTATAAAATGAAAATATTATTTTTTTAACTAAATAAAAGTTTGTAAAGATTTATCTTCAGTATGTCGTATTTTTTTGAAACACATACATACATACACAAGTATGTATGGAGCCAAGTCCTTCTCCACTTGGTGTTTCCATTGCAGTAAGGGCCTCGCTCTTCCTCTGGTACCACCAGCGAGTGCCGAGGTTAATACTTCCAGAGCAGGGATGCCGTTTGGATCTAAATAGATCCAATTGGATACATTTTTGGACGAATTTTTGCGAGATACTTATTTTTTCCGATCAGTATAAATGTGGATACTTTTTTAAATAGGCCAAAATTTTATATTTTCTATAAAGTTTTTTTCGTTCAAAACTCGATTTCCATTAAAAATATGTATTAAAAATCACTACTAAACCGTGAAATTGAAGCATTTTGTTTTTTGTGAACGAAGCAATGAGCATATGAAGAGATGTCATCAAAATAGGCATAAGCGAAATTGTTTTAATTAGCTAGAAAGGGTGCTTTAAGCAAGATCTTAATATAGATATATATATATATAAAGTAAATATATACTCCCTCTGTAGTGATCTCTTTCATATCACATATTTTCATTTCTTATTTTAATTTTAAAAGTAATTTTTAAGCAAAAAAACCGACTTCAATTCTTATATAAAAATTTAAGATTATCGTTAATTTCTTCATGATACAATGATCGGATTTAAACCAAACTTATATGGGACAACCTATGAGGTAACACCTTTCCTAAAAAAAAAAATTATTGAAATCGGTTAACGTGGTCCAAAGATATGCGGTAACATACATAAAAAAAATTGCGACGAATTGATAACCTTCTCCTTTTTGTGAAGTCGTTTAAAAAGAAAAAAATATCTCAGTGTTGTTTCAAAAACACCGTTTAAAAAACTAAATTTGACTTATTTAAGGAAATTTGTATGAATTTTACTGAAACAACTTTAAATACACTCTAAAAAATTTTTGTTTAAATCTAAGCATATTAAGAGAGGTAACCAGTTTCCTACTTTAACATACATGCACTTTTTAGAGTGTACAGGTACGAATGTAACATATTACTTATTATTTATTATACTTACTTTGCAAAATACTTATGCAGAAGAAATTTATCTTATGAACTGAATTTATAAATGTTTGATTTTATGGAAAATAAAAATATATACATGTATTCCAAGTCCTAAGGATGGGTTAAATGATGTATTTTTCTTGAAAATGCTTTGTTTTCTTACAAATTATGAGATGGATACTTAAAAAAAGAAAATTGGATACATTTGGATACATTTTTTGCTTGGTCGGTGATACATTTTCTTGAGACGGTGCGGCAACATACCAGAACCATATACCAGAACGGGCCGGATAAATGACTAATAGAGAGTGGTTTTGGTACGTCAAGGAGTGGTTACTCCTGAATTACTTCTTCTTCTTCTTATTTGACACTACAATCGTTTGTCGACCAGGGTCGAGACCAAACAGCTTCGCCTTTCTCCTGTGCGAATTTACGCCACTTCGTTATCCCGAGCTCAGACAGGTTCTTTTGCACTTGGTCCTTCCATTGCGTTCGTGGGCGCCCTTGATTTAAGTGTCCACCCATGGGTGCGGTGTCGGATGATCTTTTCACCGAAGCGTCGTCATCCATGCGTACAACATGTCCAAGCCAACGCAATCGCTGTATTTTTAGCCGTTTAACTATGTCCATGTCGTTAAAAAGCTCATACAGTTCGTCATTCCATCTTCATCGGTACTGGCAGCCCACGCGAAGAGGGTCATAGATCTTGCGAAGAATAGTTCTCTCGAAAGCCCCCAAAACGTTCTCCTGTTTGTTAGACATCGTCCATGTTTTTGCTAGAACAACAATGGCGACCTAGTGACCCATGTCCAGAATGTAGTTAAATTATGGAGGGAGCGCTTTTCCACATTTTTGAATGGCAACAGCACTCAAAGTAGTGGAGAAGACGAACCCGACCCCACAGTCGATGATGCAGGAGTCGATGTCCCACCGCCTGACTATGACGAGGTCCTCCTTCATCATCGACTACGGGCTCGGGTTCTTCTTCTCCACAGCTTTCCGTGCCGCTACCACTCAATATGGCGGAAAAGTGTTCCCTCCATAATTTAAGTACGCTCTGGACATCAGTTACTAGGTCGCCAATATTATTCTTACAGGAGTACGCCCGGGTCTTGAAACCGTCCGTAAGTCGCATAACTCTCTGGTAAAATTTTCGGGCATTCTTCCTGTCGGCCAGCATTTCAAGCTCTTCGCACTAGCGTATTTCAGCCTCTCTCTTCTTATTGCGGCAAATACGTCTCGCTTCCCTCTTCAGATTCCTGCAGCGGTCCCACATAGCGCGCGTTGTTTTTTTAACCATTTTTATTTGCTATTTTTTATATGACGCCTTAAAACTTAAATATATACATGAAAAAAAAACAGGGGTAAAGTTTCTTTCGATAGAGATAAATTCGAGGGTGTGCGGGCATGGAAATTCCGACCTTGATTTTTCGCATGCATTTTTGGACCACCCTAACGTACATATGTACATATATATAACACGGAACAACTGTATCAGCCCAATTCTGAATACTCCCGGGGAGTTTGTTCTCCGGGAATTTATTTCTCTCGAGAAAGAAATTCTCCTATAATTAACTCCCAGGGAGTAGCATTTTCCCCGAAATTTTGGGAGGAGGAAGCTCGAACTTCGAAAGAGCTGTTTGACACTTTATGACAGCCCAACTCCGCCATTTAAAATAAAAAGTCTTCAGGGAATTTTTATTTTTATAGGAGGAAAGGGAAAAGAGAAAACTCCCAGGGAGTATCTGTTCAGAATGGACCTGTGTATTCCAAAAGAATTTCCATCAGGGTATGATTAATGCACAAAAACACATACATATGTACCGGCACACCAGGCAACATATCCATTTTTTCGCGCGCTTTTCTATTCTGCTTCTGCATACCTACCTTTTGAATTTCAAACCACACACAACCGCTTTTATGCGCATCATCCACTGTTGTTTTGAGAAGCATATGTACGTAATATTTATGTATATGTTGCCGCGCAACATACACTCTCTCAAATAACGGACAAGACAGCGCATGAGAGCCAACAAGTCGTGTACTACTCGTAGCTGCAAACTCAAATGTCGTTTCAATTTGTCGTGAACAGTCTGAGCGTCTGTATTCGTTTGCTCGCGGTTGTATGTGTTCATAATTTTACTTGGTTTTATTTTGAATTTTCAATTATTTGCAAAAATATGGACGTTAATAAAAGTATTAATATACGTTTAGTGCAGATTGTGGAAAAATATCCCTGCTTGTATAACTCTTCACTAAAATCCTATTCTAAACGCCAATGCACTGACAGGGCGTGGATTGAGGTGGCAGAGCAGATGAATAGCACACGTAAGTACTGATTGTTTGTTGGAATAATTTTCGTAGATACAGGTATAAACATTTAAGAGTCCCTGTCGGAAAACGCACTAGTGACGAAGTGGTTGGTTCTGTACTATAGCATTTAGGACCATAACTAGTGCGCGTTATTTATATTTTGCATGCTAGCAACTGGCGAATTTAACATGGCCATGTCCTACGAAGTGCCAATTGCCCCCCGCTGCATCCCTTTTTCGATAGTTCAGAATTAAATAGTCATAAAATCTACAGTTCAGAACCAGTTCTAAAAGCGACAGACGAAAAAATTATTATTTTTTTCTTAAAAACAATAATAACACCATCCGCAAAAAATCTGCAAAAACGCGTTTTTTTAGCAACTTCAAACTTGCACTTTGTTATACTAAAATAGAATGGGCTATAGAACTGCATACTTAGAATTTTTCTGAAAAATCTGATTAGAAAGTTTCAAACTAGTGTGCATTGAATTTTCCTGAGCTTTGCACACATTTTAGATATTTTATTTTTATGTTTTTTGTTGGACTATGAAATACATACGTATAAAAAATTTGCGAAAAAGATTAGAATAAAGAACTTTGCATACCTTGCGAGAAATAATTTTGTCCTCATTTGTAATAATTTTGTTTTTGAAAAAATCCCCTCAAATGACAAAACGGTTTAAGCTTAAAAAGTCTGCATTAAAATATTTAAAAAAATTTAAAAAAAAATTTGAACGGAATTTTAATGATGAGATTTTTGATGCTGTTTTTTGACTTTTTTTTTGGTATAAGAAAAACTTTAATAACTGAGCCTACACTCTTCTGATTTAGACTTAAGAGGTGTCGGTGGAAAGGTATTTTCTCATTATTTGTATTTCTTTGCTAATAAACTCATTCAAAGGATGAAAGAGAAAGGTAGGATGAACGAACGACGTTCAAAGTTGAATGTAGATGTGTTGGTATTTGAAAAAAAAAATTGGCACACAAATGATTTTTTTTTTGACAGAAATAAAAACAGTGTGAAAATACCTTTCTACTGAGATCCCATAAGTCTAAATCAGAATAGTTTTGGCCCAGTTATTCAAGTTTTTGTAAATCAATATCTGCAAAAAGTAAAAAAACAGCATCACTAATCTCATTCTTACGATTCCGTTGAAAAGATTTTTAAATATTTTTATGCAAATTTTTTAAGCTTAATCTGTTTTGTCATCTGAGGGGACTTTCTTCAAAAAGTTCTTTACGAAACTATTTTTATTCATAAAAAACTCCATTTTTGGAGGTATTTTCAAATCGGTCCAGCTCACTTAAATCTTAATATTTTTCCCAAATATTTTGGTGAACGTCTTAAAATATAATAAATTTTATATTCCCGGCGGAAAAACCGCAACTTTTTTTGGTGATGCAGTCTAATGTACATTCGTGACAAATAAAAAAATTTTTTTTTTTTTCATTCAATACCCATTCTACTATGCAAAACAAAAAAATATACATAAATAAATTGTGGTTGAAAATTTACAGAGCATGTATTTTTATATTGTATAGAAGAACCTAATCGTAGTTTTTACCTGTAAGGCTAGGTTATTTTTACAACTTTAAAAGACTAAAATCGGAAGGAGACGCGTGGCCGCCGTTTGGCTTAGTACTCCCAGGGGGGGCGCATCACGAAAAGAGCCTAGGGGCCAGAGTTCTTTAAATCCTCACCTGAAAGAGGCCGCTGTTATCAAGCAGTCGATATCGAGTACAGAACCGAGGGTTCCTTTTTCAATTTTTGAGCTATCGGTGTAGATAGAAATAGCATAATTCATGTTAAGTCTAAAATCCCAGGATGACGTGAGGTAATCCGTTTTAACATCTAAGTCGACCTTGATTCCGTTACGCTATCCGCTAGTAATTACCCACAAGACCACTACGTGCCCGTAATTTGTATGCTTACACAATTTTGATTCCCTTAGTTTAAGGGCCCTTTTGTAGCTGCGCCTCTTACGAGTACTTGTGGTGGCTTCAAGTAAAAGAACAAGGTCATGGTTTTTGTTAGATAATGAGCTAAACTTTCATAAAAAAATAAACATTAAATTAACAAAAGAAAAATAGCCAAAACTTGTGAACATGTCGCATTCCTATTTACATTTGAGCTACTGTATATGTAATATTGTTATGAAACTTACGAGCAGAGATTTTAAAAGTACATAGTTGAAATAATAATTGAATCCAAATTCAAATACCTTATATAAAAAAGTAAAAAGTATTTAAATAAAAAATACAAATACGTAATTTATATTTGTATTTTTAATAATTGTAGAAACACTCTAAAGCACTCTAAATTTTTAAAATGGGACTTAGCAACTTTTCTTTCTAAGCTAGCGATATGTAACTCCAAGTGGCATAACTCCAATTTTGAAATTTGGAATTGTCACTCCTTATCCACTGACATAAAGCCAATTTTTATACTTGGGGTTATTTCACTTCTTATAAGGTGGGATAATGTCGATGTTGAGCCTAAAGCGTATATTCCAGCTCTCACGAAAAACAAACAAAAAAAAAACTTAAAACACGCTCAAGAAATGAAAAATAAATTTTCTATAAAAATCTTTTTTTTTACGCAAAAATACTTCCACCACTCTTTTCCGGCCACACAGAAAGGATAATTCTACTTCGTAAGGGTTATAATCCCTAAGTGCGGCCGAAGGTCGCCTACGCAGAAAGAAGTTCTGCGCAAAAATATTTCCGCCGCTCTTTTTTGACAACACCGAAAGGAGAATTCTACTTCGTTAGGGTTATAATAAAAAATTGCTTGTATCCACATCGTGGAACCTCAGCAAACGTGGCGTCTAGTAAGTAATGATTCTCAGTTATACATATGTTTGTTGTAATATTAGATCGCCTATAGGCGTTGACAAGAAAATAATGTAGGCAAAGCCAGCTTCTATGACAGTGTTTTGATAAAAATGCCTTTTATCACTACTCTTGCACATTCCAAATTCTTTTGGTTTGCAAAATTACATGAGGGACTTGGAATTTAGTCGCGTTTTCATTTGGAAATATGTCACTCCTTATATAGTGACATAATCCTAAATTTTAAAATTGGATTTAAGGTGCTTGGAGCTATGTCACGGCACCTCGACAACATTAGCATCATCGATTTGGATAAGGAAGCAAAACAAATAGGTCTGGTGGTAAACGCGGATAAGACGAAGTATCTCCTGTCATCAATCAAACATTCAGCACATTCGTGGCTTGATTGTCACTTTTGAAAGTTATAATTTCGATAAAGTAGAAAATTTCTTTTATTTGAGTCCATTTGAAGAAAAAAATATTATGCGTGTCATCAATTTGATCCAAAGCGGCCTCATTTTTTACATGGAAGGAGAAAAAGACTAATTGCAAGTAAAAACTCTTTTTATCAAATTAGTAAAATATAAAGGCCAAACTACCATTTGGCATAATTCATTATAAGATTGCTGCAGCTTATCTGTTTTTAAAAATTTTTTAAGTCTGCTGTTGCAAAAACGCAACAGTGGTAGGAAGTGGGTTAATAAAATATGTACAAAATTAACAATAAGATAGTTTTTTTTGCAAAATCCATAAAGAAATCTTTATATATAAATATGTAACTCTGTATGTTTGCATACATATGATAAGTCACTGTTTTCCTTTCTTTTTTTCAGCGGATGTGGTTAGGGATAGATGGAAATGTTTGCGCTCCGTTTTTGTAAGACGACTGAAACAATTACATATGGGTGAGCTTATCAAACCATATTATTTGCACGAGCACATGCAATTTATAACGCCATATTTACAAAATCCATGGGATGCGGAATCCCGATCAAAACGTCAATTGGAGGAGAGTGAGATGCGTGTCGCTTCCTTTACGCCGAATACTTCGAAAACAGATATTAATGAGGCTTATTATTCAGATCAAGAAAATGATAACCTATTTTCTATGGATGATTCAACGCAGCAACCACCCACAAGCCGTTCACATAAACGGAAACTCAGGGCGTCACGTACATCCGAAGAAGATGATTTCCATGGTTTCTCCGAATACCATACGAGCACATTGAATGCGTCGACCAAGAACCGGCAAATCAGAGATATTGTTTCAAATCCAACACAAGATCACAACGTAACCGATGATAATTACCATAAAAGGTTGTTTATGTTAAGTTTGCTCCCTGATCTCGAAGAAATGAACAATACGCAAATGCGTGAGTTTAAGACGAAAGTTATATCCATCATAAACGAGATATTTGAAGACGATCTGAAGTTAAATGACGTAAATTAATAATAAAAACCATTTTTGTAGGATTCCTTTGAAATGGAATAAGCCTCGAAACTTTAACTGAACAAATAAACTGTGTGATAAAGTTTTTAGATTTTCGAGGTTTTCAGTTTTAGACGCTTAAGGAATCAACTGAATATTTTTCACTGAATGTATTAATAAAAGGAACATAGAACTTAAAAAAGCGGGCCTTTTCACGTTGGCGTTATCGTTTTAGTCGAATTCGCAGTTTATTGAAATGACGAAGAAGTTGTTGTCAATCATTTCCATTTACTTCTTAACGACAGATAACGAATGCATCTATGTCGTTACTATCTTCGTTGCAAAATGAAGAACATCGATGGTGCCAAATTGTTTTGAAACGACAATGCCAACAGGAATAGTCCCGAATATCTCTTTGATTAAATCGACTTTGAACAGAGAGCTCTAAAAGAATATTTTCATATAGGTACAAGTACATATCGTCACTAGACACGAATGAAGGCGCAAGCTGAAAAGTTGACGTCGAAAAACGACGCATAAAAAAACTTTAGACTCAAGACTCAAAGACTCTTAACATACTTCGCCGAAGTTTTTCATAAGCATCTTTTTTCGCAAAATTTTTTTACGCGCCTTTTTTCGCCGTCAACGCACTAGCGCGCCTTTATTCGCGTGAAGTGACGATATACTGTTTTAATATTCCATTTCTTGGCCAAATTTCAAGGGCAAATCACAAATGTAAACTGTGAAATATGAAAATGTTATTCAAAGTCTAAAATACGAGCACTTATACAAATTTTCAGTAAACAGTATGCCCAGGGTCGGACCAAAGGGAAAGCAGAGCTGGGTGGGTTTAAGAGGTATGGAATGCCTTCACAAGTCATACAGGTACTGGGTATATCGAAGTCGAGTGTGGATAAGTAGGAGCTTCTACTGCTACAGTATCCAGACCATAGTTGTGTCAAAATTACGCGTGCGTCTCTTCGTCTGCGCTGGATGGTTGTTGAGCTCCGATGATGGTGATTGTCTCTCGGTGAATGGCGTTTTTGGCCTGCTTGCACTTCGTCGATTGAGTGGTTGTCCTTGAGTTAGCAGAGATGCCTTCTGACTTGCTTATGATGTGGCTCTTCTTTCACCGGCTCCACGTACCGGAATGGCTCAAGTACATATTGGCCGGCCAGTGGCTATTATTTCGGCAATCTAACCCCTTTTAGATCGACGAACCTTACTGATAATTCCTGGTGAATGAGTGCGTTTAAGTTCCACTTATTCGAGTTATTGCAAAATCGGTTAATATTTGATTGAATGACTTGTTCACTGAATTCTGAAATGGAATTAACAACTCAGCTCGTCAATTGTATTATATGATTTTAAGTATTCGGAATATACAGATTATTTTTTTATTTTAGATTTTTATCATTTGGTTCTTTCCCGTATGCAACGCGGGATTCCGCGGGTGCCCAAAACAGCCCAGAAATCATTCCCGTACTCAACTAAATGGGTAATAGAGAGCGGACTTTTTCTCCGGGTAAAAATGGATGAAGTGTACGAAGTGCATATCAGCTGTTTTGCGTTTACATGTCGCCTGCATTTACTTGGTGCTTTTAGGAAATAATGAGTGGCCTGTTGATGTATTTTCAATCTTTATACCTTAAAATCAAATTTATGAAACCAAAATTCAATTTCCAAGTATTTGCATTTAAGTGACAAAATCAAAAACAACATGAATCAGCTGTTTCTCAAATGGTGGGCACGAAATATGATTTTTTGCGTTCCCGTACTTCTGGACTATGTTGAATTTTTAAGAGCAAACTTTTCGCTTATTCTCTAATTACCGGATCCGGTCCGGATTGTTAGGGAAAGAACCTATTATCACATGAAATACGATATCGTATCGCACCGGTCTTATCGCATCTGTTTGAGGCTACCTTAAACGTAGTAAGTGGCTTATATGGACCGTATTTACGGGGTGAGTATTACAATATATTCTGATAGCGAGACTGCTTTTACATATATCTCTATAGTTGGGCTCTTCATAAGCTCGAAAGCCAAGATTGGAACCGGGAAAAGTATTCTGGCCTACACTATTCTATAATTCAACGGTAACATATCAGTAATAACCATCGAAAAGCAGAGAATTCCTGAACCAGCTGGCATCGCAACGAACTGTAAGTGTAATTTGTATTCCTGTTATCTAAATTTAGAAACATAGGTAAACGACAGAAAACCAAAAATGCAAACCTATTCTTGAGGAAGTCCTTATTTCTTTGAACTTTTTGTGCCTTGTTTTTTCTCGTCCAGTAAGGATCTTTCAAATAGTTATTCTGATAATAAGATAAGGTATCTCTGGGACATACATACACGATTTAAAAATGTAAATTTATGTACTAAACGGCAAATTTAAAATGTCAAGTAAAACCAAGTCCTTCTACACTCGGTCTCTCCATCGCAGTGGGGGCCTTCATCTTCCTATGCTACCACCAGTGGGTTCTGAGTTTAATACTTTCAGAGCTTGAGCGTCGGAGTCCATTCGAACGACATGGTCAAGCCAGCGGAGCCTAGGGATGTATCGATACAATTAAATCCAAGTACATACTCGATACTTTTCTCAATTTACCAAGTATTTTTGTACTCGATACTTTTTATTGCGATCCAAGTAGGTATCGAAAAAAAGTACTTGTATCGGAAGCGGAATACTTATTATGCTTCAGCATCTTCTATGAAAAGCAACCCATTAGAGGAATGGGAAGATATGCGCACTACATTACAGCAGCTACATATATAAGCAAGCCCTTCAATACATAACGGTTGTTGGGTCATCTGTTCGTTGCGAGAGGCTTTTCTCAAAAACAAATCTCGAAACCGCCTTTCAGGAAAACACTTGGAAAAGTTGATGTTTTTTGGGAAATATAACAAAAAAGGAGTTATTTTCTTAAAATTAGCATATCTGAAAAAACTTTAACTATTAATTTGTAAAAATGTATTCCACTGTTGTTGAAATCAAATACTATAAAAAATAATTGTTGTTTTAATTGGTTTTTATGAAAAAATATTAAAAGTTAAATAATCTTGTAAAAATGCATATTTTTTATGAAAAAAAAAATACAATAACTTTGTAAAATATGCAAAATCGTAGTTCTATGTACAAGTACTCGATACCTTGCCTTGTTTGGTACTGATTTGAGTAATACCTTGATGGTATCGATTTATCCCTAGCGGAGCCGCTGTAAGTTAATTCGATGCACTATGTCCTTATCGTTGTAAAGCTCAAACAGCTCATCATTCCATCCTCTGCGGTACTTGACGTCGCCAACGCGTAAATTCCCGTAAAGCTACCGCAAAATCTTTCTCGAATAATACTCCAAGAGCCCACTCAACGGATGTTGTCATTTTCCAAGATTTTTGCGCTATATACCAGCATGGGCACGATGAGTGACTTATAGTGTGGTTTTCGTACGTCGAGGAAGAACTGTACTTCTGAATTGCTTACTCAGTCCAGAGAAGCATTTGTTGCCAAGAGTGATTCTTTCGTTGAATTTCGATGCTGTCATTATTATTGGTCCTAATGCTGACTTCCAAGTAAACACAGGGTTACCACCTGTTTATTTCAAAGTTATTTGAAATATGTCAAGTCGAAGAGCATTAATTAATATTTATTTTGAACATTTGGAATATTTGAAGAGGGGTGCCACGTGTTTAAAAAGTGATATTTAAATTATTTAACAAAATGGGTGAATTATTAAAAGATGAGTATCAATCGGAATGGGTTTGTAAGGGCTTTATATCTAAAATATATTTAGGAAGGTGGTGACCTGTTAAAAATATCAAACTCAACTTAAATTAAAACAATTACGTAATTGGAATATGCAACACTATTTGGGTGTCAGGCGAAATAGTTGGAAGAAACTTTTAATTTGAAATTATTTTAAAGAGAGTTCCCACCTGTTTGAAAAATTTCGAATTTAGTTATCTTATTTTCGAAGTATTGGAAATATTAAAATATGGGTGTGCAACAAATGAGTGTTAAAAAATCTTGAGTTTGAAAACTAGGAATATTTTTTAGGTGTTTAAAGAGGGTTGCCACCTGTTTAACAAATTAAATGAATTATTAAAATATGTGTATCAATCGAAATGGGTTTCAAAAAGGATGTTGTCATTTTCCAAGATTTTGCGGGTTGCGGGTTGTTTAAAAGCGCAAATTCAACTTTATTCATCAGTTAATTAAACCATGTATCAGTCGACAGACTTACAAAAGCTTTAGTTTTCGGTCGGGCCAATACAGGTTCTGATTCCACATTAGGAAGTTGGTTTAAAGCGTTTCCTTTCATAGCAATACCAGGTAATCATGAAAGTTTCGCAAGGCGAAAAGTTGTTCCAGCGTTCCTTCGTCATATCTTCCGTGTCCTTTCCCGGAAGCTTTTGGGTGGGCATACGTTTTTCGCCAGCTTTGCATTCGCCATCAATATTCCGGTGTACCCCGACAATCATATTAGTAGAATGTCTATGAATTATATGTATGTGTATATGTTCATGTTCAAAAATCTACGGGGGGCTTCCTTCTGTCTATATGTGAGTCGAAAGATTTCAGGACCAGCGTTTCCATGTTGACGTTTTTAACGTCATTTGGACGTTTTTTGTATCCTGTTGACGTTTGGACGTTTTTGGGGTAAAAAATGATGTTTTTTTAACTTCCCAGTAATTTTTCTTTGTTAGGCGTTTAAGACTTCACTGAAAACGTAATGAACGCAAAAACTCTGAAGTATTGCTTCTTAGCAGAACGTAATTTAGCATTTTCGACAATTATTAAAAATCAACGCGATTATTTAGCCCTTTTAAACTTGCACATTATTGCCCTGAAATTTAATGGGCTATTAAACTGCATACTCAAAAAAATTCTAAAAAATCCGAATAAAAGGTTGAAAATGTGGCTGAAAATTTGCAGATTTTTTATAATTTTTGCCCAAAGTTTGAAATGTGGATTTATATTTTGTTTGTCATATAATGAGCTTGGCTTTTATGGAAAAATAATAAACATTAAATAAACAAAAGAGAAACAGCCAAAAATTGATCAAAATGTTGATGACTTAATCAGCTGATCACAAGTGTATGTACAAAATGATTTTTATATTAACGATCTCAAACCAGTTTACAATGAATTTTAAATGTGCTCTGTCGATATG